CAAGGACACCACTAATGATGACGAGGCCTACAGGAAACTTGTTGAGAAAAACAGGGTGTTTGAGTTTTTGACAAGGTTGAATCCGGAGTATGACATCACAAAGCAAAATATTTTATCCAATGATAGTATTTCACTGTCTCAAGCTTATGCCTTGGTAAGTAGTGAAGAAAGCAGGAAACTTGTCCAAGTTCAAGGGGCTGGTCTAATGATCACTTTGCTAATATGGGAGTGAAACCCAAGGGAGTTGCAGAGACTCCAAGTAGCTCAAGGAAGAAAGAAATTATTTGTGAGTACTGTAAGAAGAAAAACACACTAAAGACAAGTGTTAGAAATTGCATCTTGAGCTTCTTCCTCTTCGGTTTCAAAAGGTCTGATAATATGAAGGCAGGGAGTGCCAATATTGCTACTGGTCCAGATAGTGACAAATACCAAACTGAAGAGATGGCTGCTAGTGAGTAGTTAGCAGGTATGAAGGCAGAATATGAGAAGTTTGGAAGGATGATCAATCACCTAGAGGGTGTGGTCTCTTCTTCCAACCCTCCAAGAATTTCAACATCTTCTGCATTTGCTCATTCAGGCAAACAAGCTCCTGCCAATCATGCAACTATCTCAGGTAATCTTAGGATCCCTTGGATTATTGATTCCAGTGCTTCTAATCATATGACCAACCTTTCCACTTTGTTTGTTTCATATGATTTACTTCATGGCTGTGACAAAATCACCCTAGCCGATGGCTCAACCATCAAGGCTACAGATTCCTTGGTACTTTCTTCTGCTCTTCATGTACCCAAGCTAAATACAAATTTGTTATTTGTAATTATCCTAACTAAGTCATTGAACTGTTGTGTAACCTTCTTTCCTTCCTACTATGTTTTTAAGAATCTGGAGTCTCAGAAAGTGATTGGGAGTGGCCATGAGGCGAATGGAATATATCTGCTGGACACTCCTGGACAGAGCCATGGACAACCTGGAAAAGCTGCTTTTGGGTCTACATCTACTAAGTCCATCAGTCGAGTCATGTTATGTCATTTTCATTTGGGTCATCTTTCTTTTTCTGCATTAAGTCAATTATTCCCAAAACTGTTTAAGGGAATTAGTCTGTCCAGTCTTCATTGTGAGTCGTGTGAATTGTCAAAACATTGTAGAAGCAGTTATCCTCTGAGTAATAAAAGATCTTCTTCTCCATTTTATATTGTGCACTCTGATGTGTGGGGGCCTTACCACTTACCTTCTATGGGTGGCTACAAATATTTTATCTTGTTCATTGATGACTTTTCTCGGTTCACTTGGATATTTTTTACGAAGTCCCGTGATGAGGTTCCCAGACTTGTGAGGCAATTCCAAGAATTTATTCTAACCTAGTTTGATACCAAAATTAAAATTTTCAGATCCGACAATGCAAAAGAATATTTTGAGAAAAACCTGACTTGCTATCTCACTAATTTGGGGGTTATTCACCAAAGCTCTTGTGTTAGGACCCCAGAACATAATAGAGTTGCTGAAAGAAAAAATCGGCATATTGTTGAAGTTGCAAGAAGTATTCTATTTGCCTCACATGTCCCTACAAAATTTCGGGGTGATGTTGTTCTCACTGCAACCTACCTAATCAACCGTATGCCATCCGGGGTTTTGGGGTTTAAGTCTCCCTTCAGTCTTCTTCATCCGGGCAAGGATCTTTTTCCTATTCCTCTTCATGTCTTTGGTTGCACTTGCTATGTACATATCCCAAGTGTCCAAAGACATAAATTTGAACCAAAAGCCCACAAGTGTATTTTCCTTGGTTATTCCCCCACACAAAAGGGTTACTGTTGTTTTGATCTGAAGATTGGCACTCGGTATGTCTCAATGGATGTCACATTTGATGAGCTCTCTTCCTTTTATGATTCTTCTCAAGAGAGGCATTGTCCAAAGGGGGAGAATTTGCCACAGTTGTTTGCTCTTCCCCTTCATGTCCCAGTTGAGTCTTCTGTTGAGACTCTTCCTCCTTCAAATGAGTCAAGGGAGGATCATTCATTTCATTCTCATTCCAGTGTTCCTATCCCTCCTCCTTTACCTCCTCGTCCTCTTTTTAATCCCAGGTTGTACCAACGACAGAGAACCAAAAGTCAGCAGATTGTTTCCCCTTCAGCACATGAGCCTCCTGCACTTCCAGTCACAGAAGAGACAACAAGTACTGATACATCCCCTTTAGAGTCATCCTTTCCAGACCTTGATATCCCTATTGCTATTAAAAAAGGAAAAAGGAGGTGTACTACACATTGCATTTCCAAACACCTTTCTTATAGTTTGCTCACTCCTTCATATTTTGCCTACCTTTCTTCTGTTGCTTCTATCCCAATTCCTAGGTCTATGTCAAAAGCTCTTACTATTCCAGAATGGAGGGATGCTATGAGAACAGAAATTGATGCCCTGCACAAGAATGACACTTGGAAAGTGGTTGATTTGCCTAAAGGGAAGGATCCAATAGGCTATAAGTGGGTTTTTACTATCAAATATCATGTTGATGGCACCATTGAAAAGTACAAGGCTAGGCTGGTTGCAAAAGGTTATACACAGACATATGGAATTGATTATCTGGAGACCTTTTGCTCCTGTTGCAAAGATGACTTCTGTGAGAGTTCTGCTATCTCTGGTTGCACACTCAGACTAGCCACTTTATCAGCTAGATGTAAAGAATGCATTTCTGAATGGAGAGTTACATGAGGAGGTTTATATGTCTCTTCCTCTATGGATGTATGAAATAGATATGAAAGGGAAGGTCTGCAGGCTGAAGAAATCTCTTTATGGACTCAAACAGTCCCCTAGAGCATGGTTTGAAAAGTTTAGGGCTGCTCTTGTTAGCTTTGGCTATGTACAGACACAATCTAATCATACCCCCTTTGTGAAGAGGAAAGGATCCTTGGTCGCTTACCTGATTGTGTATGTTAATGATATTGTTGTGACTGGTAATGATGTATTAGGGATTAATGATCTCAAATCTTTCCGTCATACAAAGTTTGAGATCAAAGATCTATGGGAATTGAGATACTTTCTTGGCATAGAAGTTGCTAGATCCAATGATGGGATCCTTATCTCTCAGAGAAAGTATGTACTTGATTTGCTCTCTGAAACAGGGAAGATGAGTGCTAGACCAGTTGTTAGTCCTATTGATACGAGTCATAAATTCTCTGCTTCAGATGGAATATTGTTGAAAGATAAGGGAGTCTTTTAGAGACTACTTGGAAAATTTCTCTATCTATCCATGACTCGGCCAGACATTGCATATGCTATCAGTTGCATTAGTCAGTTCATGCATGCTTCCAAGGATACTCACATGGTAGTAGCAGAGCGGATTCTATGTTATTTGAAGGGTTCCCCTGGAAAAGGAATTCTACCTCTGGGTACTGTAGCTTGGTGGCAGGTAATATTGTCTCTTGGAGAAACAAGAAACAATTAGTTGTTGCCCGATCTTCAACCAAAGCTGAATACAAAGCCATGGCTCATGGAGTTTCTGAACTATTGTGGCTTAGATCCTTGATGGAGGAACTGGGTATTGAGCATGATAAGCCAATGGTGTTATATTGTGATAATCAGGCTGCCATCAACATTGCTCACAATCTAGTGCAGCATGACAGAACTAAACATATTGAAGTTGACAGACACTTCATTCGAGAAAGAATGGCTTCTAGAGAGGTGTGTCTACCTTTCATCACTTCTGAATGACAATTAGCTGATTTCCTCACCAAGGGCATTCACAAGGCTAAACTTCAGCATGATACTGACAAGTTTGGCATGATTGACATCTATGCCCATCTTGAGGGGGAGTGTAGAGAAGATGGGCCAAATGGCCCATAGGCTGTTTATCCTTTTTATTTTTATGTTCTTTGTTATAATGGGCCTTAATCTGGGCTTTATTCTTTCTTGTGTTATGTTTTTTATTTTTCTACCCAATTAGGGGCCTCTTTGTAAATTATTAAAGTTTAACTTAATGAAATGGAATTAGGGGTGTAAGAGAGAAAGTTATGTTCGAAAATCTCTCTCTCTGAACCCTAGTTGCCGCCACCTTCTTCTTCTTCTCTCTTCTTGAAACCTGATTTCTGCTACTTCCTTTTGATTTTCTGCAACTTTTTAAACAGTCCTTTCTTTTCAAAAGGATGTTTTTCTTCTCAACTAACAACTATCTCTACAGTCTTTCATCACTTGTAGCAAGTCTCAAAATAGGGCAAATATGTTTGTCTGGGTCATTTGTTATTCATGTCCTTGAAAATTATGCCCCTTCATTTGTTTAAGTTCGTTTTGATTTTAGATCTTTAGTATTAAGTATGTTAGTTGGCTAAATATTGTATATCAAATTATCAATTCATGCACCAAGTAAATAAAAATTCTTTATTCCATATTATGCATACTAATACATGGCGATCGTACCCTATTCCTGCTGATGGTAGCTTTTAATACTTTATCTTATTTGTTCATGATTTTTTCTTTTATAATTGGTTATACATGAAGAGATCTAAAGATAAGATACCTCATGTTAAAATTTTCCATAAGATGGTATTACCTTAACTTAGACAAAAGAAAAATATTCAGATTTAACAATACTAATACATGGCTATATGAGAAATATAGGAATATCTTGAATCTCACCAAATTAAATTGAGGTTGTTCATGACAGCTTGTTTCTATACTCCTCAACACTAATACATGGTTATATGATGTTAATTGAGCAAGAAAAATTCACACTCGAGAAGACAATGAACAAAAGGAACAGAAACAGTATCTCCATACTTTGCAATGATAGGTGGTCAATATCTGTAAAATATTGCTAGAAATTCAGAAAATTTGTATTATCACTAAGAAAAAAACAAAGGACTTGAATGCCTAATATCATTACCATTAGAAACAAAAAAAAAATGTTAGAAACTAGAGATTCATTTTCAAAATGGTTCTTCTATTGAAAAAGGAAAACAAAGTCAAAGTGATATTTTAATTTCTGCAACCATAAAGAGACATGGTTAAAATACCTCAAACCATTGTTTAGTTGCATTCTTGAAGTTCCTACTTGAAGCCTCAGAACCTTTATTCGCACGATAAGGTACTCGATGTCTAGGAAGTCTAGCAGAAAATGCTTCTTGTCTTTGACGAACATCAACTGTCACAATTGCTCCATTTCTAAGTCCACATACAACAACATTTCCCTACAATAAGAGGCAAATAGAATGAATCCCATTTGATATGATGCATTTTGTTACCTAGTGCTTTGTAGAATGTACTAGGTAACTAGGCAACAAGGTGCCCTGTCACATAGCTTCACCTTGGCACCTCAAAAACTATGCTTTGTTCTTATCAATCAGTACCATATCATTAACAAACTTACACTATTGGTGATGGGACCTCTTCTTGTAAAATCTCTAGTCAGTGAATCCACAAAATTGCAAATATGGACCAATTGGCAACCCTTGGTGTAAAACCTATCGTGATTAGAACTCTCTCATCCCCCTTCTTGAGACCTCCCCTGGTTACAACTCTCGATTACAATGCTTGCACTAAATATTCAATAAATTAATATTTCATCATCTTATTGCAAAACATTTTTACATACAGTATAGTGCCAACTCCCTCCTTGCGCATATGAGGAGAAAGGCATTTGTTGGGCCTTCTTTTCTATAGCATATCACAGATATTTATAAAATTTCCCAAAAAAATGTCTTGAATCTTAGGTGGAATAGGCTTACTCCAAAACCTCTTTCATCAAGTAGACTACCCCTAAAGTATTATAAAAAGTAAGGTTATTGAAAAAGGAGGCACAAATGAACAAGCCATTAGGAAAAGCTATCCAAACCTTAGTGTTCCCAACATTTTGATCTAAAAATACCGACTCCAATTTGATTAGTAATTGAACAAGATATCTACACTAGGTGTGGGTCCCATGTATAAAAATATCAAAATTCAAAAAAAAAAGCCAAAAAAATCAAAGAAATGCAAAAAAAAAATCAAAAAATTATAAAACTTAATATTAATAAAAATATAAACTTAAGTTTTAAAATAAATGTTTTAAAAATCCTATTATCTAAAATTAAAATACATAAACATAATATGTAAAGCATATTCAAATGAGAATTTAAAAATGAAATCAAACATATAAAACATTTTCAAGCATATAAAACCCACTATCTCTTTTTTTTCTCAATTACATCAAGTAGCTAATGTGATATATTACATTCCTAATTCTACGAGCCGCCTTTGTGCCACACCCCTCGAGGCAAGCCCAAACAAGTCCATGTTAGGGTCTTAAATTCTTAGTTTTCACACAAAAAATAATGATTTTATAGTTTTAATTGCTTTTAAGAAGATATTTTATTAGATGAATGAATGAACAGCATTACCAAATAGGGGGTTCTCGAAGCTTCAATGCACGCCTAAGCTAAGGCGCAAGGCGCACCAGGCATGCGCCTTTTGAATGGGCTGCACCTTGGACCTGGGCAGAGCACCTACCCTAAAATGTGTCCCGCCTGTGCGCCTAGCGTGCCTTTTAAATCACTAGGAACCTTATCATTGGTTCCACAGCCTGCTGAACAGCCATCGCGTTTAGCTAAACCTTGTTCGCTGTAGAAACGGTTCTTAGGTACTTAAGGAAACATCTTGGTAGAAATATCCTTTTTTTCTAAACATGGTCATATGAGAGTTGAAGTTTACATTAATGCTGATTAGGGTAGATTAATAAATGGTCATAGGTCTACTATAAGTTATTGTACTTTTGTTAGGGGTAACTTGATAACATGGAGGAATAAGAAGCATTCAATGGTAGATAGCCAAATTTAGTGCCGAGGTTGAGTATTGTGCCATGGCCTATGGTGTAGCTGAGGTGTTGTAGATCAAGAACCTTTTGGAAGAGTAAGGATTTGGTGTGGATGACCCCATGTTTCTCTACCATTACAACAAGGCAGTATTAATATAGCTGCCAATCCTGTCTTGCATGATCGAAATAAGCACATAGAGATTGACAAGCACTTCATAAGGGAGAAGATTGAAAAGGCAGAAGTTTGTATAGCATATGTTAACTCCAGAGATCAGTTGGCTGATGTATTCACAAAGGGTATGAACTATCTGCGCCATACTAAATTACGTAACAAGTTGGGGATGATTGAAGTCTATAACGCAACCTGAGGGGGAGACAGGGAGTGTTGTAATATGTATACATTTAGGCACAGGGTATTGTAGTCATTTTACTTTATTATGTCACCCTAGTATAATAAAAGGAGCGGGTGCCACCAGACACTATAAGATTCTTTCTCCAAAATATTATCTTCTCCACTATCCTCTCTCTCTCTCTCTTCTTCCTTTCTATTCTTTTATACCTTTGCAGGTCTAATTTCCAAGCTTTTCAAACTTAAAATAATCTTCATCCCTACATAGATGAGCCTCCATGAAATACATTATTTTGCAGATTCTTCTCCTTATAGCACTTAACATGAAGAAATTTTCTTCTTTTATAGTAAAAGAAAAAAGAAGATTTGCTAAGATATGAATATTCACCTAATAAATGCCACATCTAGAGATGAAAGGCTGATTAGCTATGAAGAGGGATCTATTCTCAAGTTTTCCCCTGCTTGGATCAGCATTGCATGAAAATACAGTATTCGTTTTTGTCATTATCTGTAATTAACGTGTATATGATTTGAACTCTGTAACATAACATTGTTTCTGTTACTTAGAAAGAAATTGTGTTACAAAATGCATCACCCATAAAAATAAAAAAAAAATTCAAAACAGAGATGCATCTCTAGGAATGTTCAATACTACTCCATGTTACCGATTGATTAAATTGTTGGGAGAAGACATCACTTTTGCTCCGGCACACCCATGATGGCACCCCAGTCTCTAAATTTACCAAGGCTGCTCCCAGACTGGTACCTACACCCAGAAGGAATAAACAAATAATAAAATAAAGAGTAACAGTTCAATATAAATACAAAAATTTACACAAATAAAGAAGAAATCTATCCTCCATGTGCACATTATTATTAAGAAAAAGGGATCTAATAAACTCTTTGTCAACTACTTAGCCAAAACCAACCAACACAACTTGAAAATCATGAGATAGACCATTTTTGTTTTAATGGGTCAGACTACTCTAAAAGAAAAATTAAACAGAAAAACTTAGTGCTAACTTTTATCCATGTTATAGGCAAAAGTGGAGCCAATGGTCTGGGACATAGTTGTCAAGCAACGCCTAGGCGATTAGGCGGTTTTTCATGGTTGCCTCGCCCAAACGCCCCAGGTATTGCATACTAGGCGCCCGCCCAGAGACTTAAGCGGGTGCCTACATACATATATAAAACTATTGCCTACATACATATATAAAACTATTTTTTTAATCTATTGTTTTGATATTTTATTGGTTGTTGTATTCTTTTAAAATAAATCTGCTACATGGTATCATTTTAATATTAAGACAAGTATACAACTAATCTAATCTCCATTTCTTCGTTCAATTGGAGAGGGAGGAGAACCGAACACTTCAAGCTCAAGCCCCAGCCCAACTCCATCGCACCTCAGCTCCGGCAGCGGCAGGTAAGTTCTTTCTTCTAACAGGGGCTCCACCCCTATACTCAGTCTTCCCATTCTCCACTCATCATCATCATCATCTTTCCTTCGCCTAGGCACCTGAGCGCCCCATGGTCGCCTAGCCTCACCTAGTTGCCTTGACAACTATGATCTGGGAGACCAAACTAAGATAGGGAATGCTCAATCAACTCAATTTGTTCACATCTCAATCTATGCATATAGAACGTTGATAGTTGCTTGCTTTAAATTATTGTTTTTATTTCTTTATTGTTATTGGGTCTTGGCCCATATGGCCCTCTTATGTTTTTAGTTTAGTTTTCTATTGTTGCTAGCACTAGTTGCCCTACTAGGGGCATACTTTGTACATTCTTTTATTGTTAAGTATAAATAACAATTAATTGGGGTCGCCAGGATACTTTTGGCTCCCCTCTTCTTCTCCCTTCTTTCTTCTTCTCTGTTCTTCTCCAAAAAACATTTCTTTCAGTCCTTTTATATTTTCTTGCTCTTAATCACCTACTTGGTATCAGAGCCTTCCTAAGGCTTCTCGAATTGCTCTCTAATGCAGTCTTGAGATCAGCCAACTGCATGGGAGCTTAGAAAGGGCTAATTGATTTGCTGTTAAAAGCCTAATCCTTGGAGATTTTGGTGATCTGCTGCTAGTCAGTTGAAGATATTGGATAAAAGAACAAAATCAAGAAAGATTAGATAGAAAAATTTCTGATTCTTGGTGGAATCTGGTTCGTAAACAATCATCTAAAGTGGCTATTTCATCAAGAAAGATTTCTGGAGCTTTTCTTCCCTTTATTCTTGATTTCTAAAGAGGGTGATTTCATCAAGAAAGATTTCTGGAGTTCCTGGAGAGATGGATTCGCAAATCTCCTACTTTCTCTTTCTCACAGGTTCAAGATAAGTGATATCTGACCTACTTGGACAGTCTTTATTAGCTCTTTCCTTTTAAAGATATTTTCTACTTGCTAAAGGTGATGTTTAGTTGCGGGAAAGTTGTTAGTAGCCTTCTTGAGAATCAGTTGCCTTTCTTCTTTGTTTGGAGTTTTTTGACCAAAGATGATGGTTCCTTTGTGCCTTGTTTACCCCTCTGAAAGTCTGTTATTTCTTTCCGCCTTAAGGATTTATTGCTTGAAATTGTTTGAAATCAATGAAAGGGTCTAGAAGTGAACAGAAGGCAGGGGGAGAGTTTGGTATGTCCCTAGGAAGAATGGGAGAGATGGCCAGGATTCAAATTACCACTGTAAAGTTTAATGATATGAATTACCTAGAGTTGTCCCAATCTACTCAATGCAAGAGGTAAACTGGGGTATATTACGGGTGAGACGAAGAAGCCAGAGACTACTGATTCATCTCGTGCATGATGGGTTTAGGAGAATTATATGGTAACTGGTAATTACTTGGCTGTGCAGTTCCATGTTGCCCCATGTTAGTAGAAACTTTCTGTGGGCAAATACTGCTAAGGAGATCTAGGATGGAGGTACAAAATCCTACTCACAGAATCAATATGTGGCCCAAGTTTACCAATTAAAGAAATAAGATGACCACTACAAAACAAGGAGATAAGCCTCTCCCAGTTTGCTTCTTTACCTTGAAGACTTTGTGGTAGGAGATAGACCATCTGGAGATGGTCAAATGGGAAAGAACTAAAGATGTTACAAGCTATCGAAAATTGGTGGAGAAGAACAGGGTTTTTGAGTTCTTAATTGGACTCAAACCTGAATATGATATTGTTACATACTCTATCACGTGATAGTGTGGCTCTCTCACAAGCATATGCCCTTATGTCTAGGAGGAGAGTATGGGGAATGTTATGCTAAGGCATCCTGCAATTGAGACTTCGGCTTTGGCTAGTACTACAAAACCTCAACCTAGTGAAGATAAGGATAGTAGTAGTGAAAACAAAAAGGAGGATAAAAAAGATGTTATATGTGATCACTGCAAGAAGCCTGATAAAATTCAGATCTGTACTAGTTTTAGATCCAGAATAACAGAGAAAAAGAGAGAAGAGAGAAAGAATAGAAGGAAGAGAAGAGAAGAGAAGTAGAAAAGAAAGGCTGGTTCAAACTAGAGAAGAGAACTTTCCCTAGTCGGCCAAATTGTTATTTATAGGTTTTTAATTTAAAACATAAAGACAGCTATGCCCCTTCTTAAGTGTGGGACCCAACACTTAACCCAGGATATAACAGATATTACACCACACTCTTAACATAAAGCAAAATGACCAAACTACCCCTCTACAGTAGACTCTAACACTCCCCCACAAGCTAGTGAGTATATGTCATATAGCCCCAGCTTGTTACATATGTAATCCACTCTTCCTTAACTCAACCTTCTCTCTCACAAAATGACAATCAACTTCTATATGTTTTGTTCTCTCATGAAAACTAGATAGGAAGAAATGTGGGTTGAAGCTTGGTTGTCATAATATAGCTTCATAGGGGTATCAATCGAGTACCCCATCTCCTGTAAGAGGTTTATCAACCACACTAGTTCACATGTTGTGTGTCATGGCGCTATATTCAGCTTTTGCACTGCTTTTTGTTACCACTGTCCACTTCTTGCTCTTCCATGTCACCACCTCCAATTGCTACCACTGGTTCATCAACAACTTCTTGCACTTCAGACTTGATAAGAATTGGAAGTGGAGGTGGAGAAAGAGGAGAGACATCGGACCTAAAGAAAAACGAAACAAACTCAAAGAACATAACATCGGGACACACAAAAGAACAATGAAAACTGGGTTATAACACTTATACCCTTTCTAGGTCCTAGAATAGCCAAGGAAGACACACTTAGTAGATTGTGCATCTAATTTGTCCATTCTAGGTCCAAGATTATGGACAAAACACACACACCCAAAAAACCTGGGAGTGAGAGGGAAAGGAAACAAGGTAGGGAACAAAACACAGAAGAGAGAATGACCTTGAAGGATAGACATGGGCATCCGATTAATAAGGAAGCAAGATGTAAGCACAACATCACTCCTAAAACGTTTGGGTACACTCATATGGTACAAAAGGGACCAAGCAGTCTCAAAAAGATGGTGGTTCTTTCTCAGCCACCCCATTTTGCTAAGGAGTGTAAGTACACGAGGTTTGATGGATAATGCCATGTTGTTCCAAATATTTCCAGAAGGGGGTATAAAAATATTCGCAGGCATTATCAAAATGAAGAGTCTTAATGTGCATGCCAAACTAAGTGTGAATTTCAGCATGAAACTTTTGGAAAAGAGAAAACAATTCACTCCTTTCCTTCACAAGATAAAGCCATGTTAGACAGTGTATGCCCTTAGCTCCAATCAGCATGATGTACATTATGACATTTATTGTAAATGAATAAAGTACATATTTGATTCATGTTATTATGGTGTGTTTTTGTGTAATACCCTTAAACTAGACACATATGAGACTCGTGTTAGTTTAGAATCTTCACAGCCGTTGGATAGATCTCGGGAGATTTATCCTGCCAAGGCTGACACTGATGTGCCGCCAAGTTGGTTGGGGTGGCTTGTCTCAGCTGCCAGGGTGAGACCTGAGGTACATGCAGTGTGGGTTTTCTTGAAACCTTGAACCGGACCAAAATTCCAGTATTGCCCTGGACCTTGGAGATAGATGGGCAAAACCGGAATGTTACACCTGACCACTAGACTCGATTATGATGTTGCACTAGGTGTCAGATTGGGTTGGCTTTGATATGCCAATCAGTGAGATCCTTAGAGGGGGTCAAAACCTGGGTATGTTGGGACAGTCCAAGAATTCATCTGAGTGGGTGATCATAGTGACAGCATCAGCTCCTTTGTCGGACAAAGTGAATGATCGGGGATGCACTCTCTCTGATAGAAACCTACACTGCCGGCAGTTGATTTCAACTGTTGAAATTTGTTTTGCAAAATATATTTATATAGATATATATATATATATAGATATACATATATTTATATATATATATTATGCTTTCAAAATGTTTGCAAAAGGTTTTAATTCCCGAGATCCATGTGAGTAGAGAGTGCAGCACTACAGGAGAGGTCCTCTCTTGTCGGGCAATGTTTGATCATTATGGGCTAAGAGGTTAAGTGTAAGACCATTGAGGGTTATACCTAATGGGCTAATCTTGCATCTGCCCACAGTCCTTGGGCCTTCATAAAATGGTTGTACCCAAGGACAATTAGTGTAAATGTTGGGCCCATTGAGAGCCCATAGTGATGGACTCAGGGGTTCATTGTATTCAGCAGTGAATTCGGCCAGGCCTTGTAACAGAGGCTAGGCTGAATCCATGTGGCTGATGTGTAGATCAATGATAGGGTTCCACGCCATACAAAGAGAGCCAAACTAGCCAGC